CTGATTACGGAGTGAATTTAATTTCTGTGAATTAACTATTTAATTTCTGTAAATTGATTTCTGAAAACCGGTATTGATGAGTTATTTAAGATGATGATGATGATATTTGTTTTAGTTGCTGACTGATATCTGAAAACCGGTATTGATGATTTATTTAAGATGATGATGATGATATTTGTTGCTGACTAAATTCTAAAGACCGGTATTAATGATTAATTTCTGATGATGAGGATATTTGTTTGTGGTTGCTGACTTATTTAATATATGAATATTGAGACACCTGGGTTATGTTATTTTTTGTAGCCCTGAAGTAAGCGAGCAGCTGGGGTTTTGTGCTCTCTCCAAAGGGAACTAATTTAAATAATTTAAACATTTGATAGGTTTAAGGTCGATTAACTTTTGCCTGTCTGGCGCCCAACCTTATTCTTTTTAGGAGAGGCAGCTTCTACGCTACAGCGTGACGAGCCGAGTCCGTAGACACCAAATTTGTGGACTTTGGATAAACTTTTTTTTTTTTAGATTAAAACGGAATTTAACGGTGTGCCACGGCAGCATATGGGAGACTACCCATGGCGGCCCTTCGGAAGGGAGCGACTCAGAAGGCTGGGGCTGACATATGTTACTCAGCGTGACGAGCCGAGTCCGTAGACACCAAACTTGTGGACTTTGGACAAACTTTTCTTTCAAGATTAAAACACAAAATTTAACGGTATACCAGGGCAGCATATGAGAGATGACCCATGGCGGACCTTCCAAAGGGAGCGACTCAGAAGGCTGGGGCTGACATATGTTACTCAGAATGAGGAGCCGAGTCCATACACACCGAATTTGTGGACTTTTGACAAACCTTTTTTTGTTTTATTAAAACACATTTTTATTAAACCGGCCGATAAGGGCAGCGTTGTGGTAGTTATGGAACGAGAGCAATATTTATGGGACGGATACAGACAAGTAAATGATACAAAGTATTAAATCCAATTTATCTGGACACCATCCCCATTGTACACCAAATTATTAATGAACTACATGAGAAAAAATGTATTAATTGAAAACAAAAGAATTACTTGATTGGTGATTCAGAACCCAGACCTAGATGTTTTTACATGTTGCCTAAGATACATAAGGACCCTGCTAAGTGGAGCAAGCCTTTTGAAATCCCCCCTGGTAGACCTATAGTGTCTGATTGTAGCAGTGAGACCTACAGGACAGCAGAGTTCCTGGACTTTTATCTGAATCCCCTGTCCACTACACACACCAGCTAAATTAGAGACACACATGATTTTATAGATAAGATGAAAAACTTACAGATTCCGGCAGATTCGATCCTGTTTACTATCGATATTGATAGTCTCTATACAAACATAGACATAAGAGAGGGCATTCAATCAGTGAAAAACATTTTTCTAAAAATTATGATAAAAAAAAGACCAGATAAAGAATTATTACAATTATTAGAGATTAACTTAACAAAAAATGATTTTAAATTCAATGGTGAGTATTTTTTTACAGATTAAGGGCACAGCAATGGGCAAGAAATTTGCGACCGCATATGCCAATATTTTTATGGCAGGTTGGGAAACAGGGGCCCTACAACAATGTGAAAAAAGACCCATCCACTATTATAGATATTTAGATGACATCTGGGGAGTATGGACACATTCAGAGGAGGATTTTAAGATTTTCCTGAACACTCTTAATAATTTTAAGTCGTCTATTAAATTAAAATCCACTTTAAATCACAATTCTATTGATTTCCTGGACACCATTTAAAGGACCCAAATTTAATGAAACCAATAAATTAGATTTTCTTTAAGGAGACGGATACTCATGCTTTGCTCCATGAGACCAGCTTTCACCCCAAACACACTTTTGTGGTTTTGGTCTAATCAAATCTCAATTATTACGGTTCCACAGGATCTGCACCCAAAATGAGGATTTTAAACAGGCCACTAGGGTGCTCTTCTCTGCTTTGGCCTGCAGGGGGTACTCCAGGACCTTCCTAAGAAACTCTTTCAAAAAGTTCCTCCAAATTACGCCCCATATTGTGTCGTCTATTATTCCTTTTATCACCACCTATTCGGCATCCACAGCGAAGCTGGTCAGCGAGATCAGGAACAACTTTGAAGACTCCAGGAAAGGAAGGGAGCTCCTCTACAACTACAGGATCATTGCTGCATTCAGAAAAAACAAGAATTTAAAGGATTACCTGGTGAAAGCCAAAATTAAACCATTAATTGATTCCAAATTAAAAGGTAAAACTGAATTGACAGCAGGTATGGCTTACTAATAAACAGAATAAAAATGTATATAAAATTGAGAATGAGGGAAATGTTTTATCCAAAAATTGTGTATATATTATAATAACAATGTGGGCTAAAATATGTTGGTGAGACGGGAAACACAATCTGAACCAGATTCACACAACATAGATACAATATTTGAAAAGGAAAGACATCCACACTCCGCTGGTTAAACACTTCATACAGCATGGCTGGCATTCAGTACAGGCCTCTGTCCTCCATGCAGTCCAAATTGGACAACAACCCAGAGACAGAGGACAGAGAGGACCTGGATTAGTAAATTGGGCACTAGATTCCCACAGGGACTTAATGAGAGCTAGGAGGGGGACTGCATGGGACTGGATGGAGTGTGCACAGATTGCACCACCGCGATTATTTCCTAATCCTAACCCTAACCCTAAACCTAAACCTAACCACACTTGTGACATAATCATGTGATTAAATGTAACATCTCAAAGTGTTTTTTAATGAAGTGATAATACGAAAAAATACTCTTCATTTGGTAACACCCTCATTTCCCTTTTAATTACAAACAGATAGGTCAGTGAATGCCTTACATCAGTACAAACAGACGGGTTAGTGAATGCCTCACAGTAGACGTCTTCACAGGACAAGAAGTCATTTAATGCTTCAAAGACAAATTTGTACACATAATGTAAAATCCTGCATAATCAATAAATCAATAAATTGACAGATGATTATGTTCTAATCAAATCAAACTGTTGAATGGATCAAATTAAAAATCAAAATAAAGAGAATGAGAGCTGATACTGCAGACTCTCAGGTCATGGTCTGACTTGGGTCCTGGATCAGGTGTCATCTCCCGAGTCAAGTGGACCACTGAAGAGCTCTACCTCAAAGCTCATCAGTACAAAGAAACGGGTCCTGAATACCTTACAGCATATCAGTACATGGAGACAGGTCCATAAACGTCTCACAACTCATCAGTACAAAGAAATGGGTCCATGAACGCCTCACAGCTCACCAGTACAAAGAGACGCAGTCCATGAACGTTTCACAGCTCACCAGTACAAAGAAACAGGTCCATGAACGCCTCCCAGCACATCAGTACATGGAGACCGGTCCATGAATGCCTCACAGAAACACAGGTCAGGAGGAAGACGTGGATTGAACCTGTGGAAACACCTGATTTCATCACACCTGCAGGAGACCTTAAAGGGGCAGTTAATCATTTTTTTAAACTTATAAATCCATGAATTTACTAATTATTAGCGATGTAATCAAGATGGCATAATTAATGGATTCAAATATATTATATTTAATATATTTTCAGTTAAAGAGCAAAAAATCTTTAAAAAGTAAATTTAGGAGTTCACTGCATTAATTCATGGACTGTTTAAAAACCCTTAAATTCATCACTAATTAACACGGTATAATCCATTAATTAAAACCCAAATTTGGTGTAAATGAATTTGCTTTTGAATGATTGTTACATTAATTAAAATCAATTGATATTTCATTATCTTATTATATTATCATCATTAGCTTGTATAACTGAAACCCTGCACATAATCCATTAAAATCCCATTAAACTATCTCAGTTAATAATGGATGAATAAATGGATTTTTATGGTAAAAAATAAAATAAAAGTGACTTTAGATGTTGACCTTCATTATAATGAAGATGGAAATTCATGCTTCTAAAACTAAGAAGAAATTCATTCAAAAATTAAGGTACTTAAATACTCCATTTTACTCTTCACCTCCACATAAAGAACAAACTCTTTTATTGCATTGACACATTATCATTAACAGACCTGTTGTGTTTGGTGCGTTTACTTCCTGTAGTTTTTTTTTTTTAAATCCTCCTGTTTTCGATGATGTTTGTTGCTAAGTCCAGTTTCTTAACCAGGATCAAAAAAGATCCTGGATCAATGTTAAACAGCTTTTATACACATAGAAAGGAGAAGTCATCAAAGTAGCAGCAGCAGGACCAACCACCTGCTTTAACCACAAACTGAACTAAAACTTAATAATTAGAAAATATATAAACATCTGAAAAAAGTATGCCTCTGGATTCTTTGAAGGCATTTTTATCTGAAGGTAAAACTCTGCTTTATTTTATATTTGACTATGAAAAGACCAACAATAATATATGTATTTAAATAAAATGAACAGCAATAGAATTTAATTTAATATAATAAAAGACAAACGTGTAAAATCTGGTAAAAACAAACAAACCTATTAAATCTGATTTTAAAAAAACAAATGTGTTTAAAAAAATGTAATTCTGGTAAAGAAAAAAAGTGTGATTTGTACTAATAAGGACTTTTCAATACCTTTGAACCTCACAGATAATCCAATGGAATCTTAATTTTCTCCTGAACATTAATTTATTTGTAAAGGAAATCAATGGGATTTTATGCATTGTTATTCTCTATTCAGGTAATGGTTAAAATGTCAATAAAAATGATGAATATGACTTGGATGTTTAAAATATGGCTGTGTGTTGATAGTGATGGTTATTAATTATAATATAAATAATGTGTTTGAATTGTCTGTTCTTTGTGGTTGATTTATCAAATCTCAACTGATTAAAATGGCCGCTGTGTGAAGAGGGTCATGTGACCCATACAGAGATCATCAGCTCCTCAGATTGGTAACTCTGCTGTGAAGGGGTCGGACTTTGGACAGGACTTTGTGAGGCGGATCTGTCATGGTCGTGACACACTTTGTGTTGGCAGGGAGGGGTTTTGCAGACGCAACGGTGGGTAAGAGGCTGGGCATGGCTCCTGTCTTCATCGTCATTGTCACCATTGCTGTCGTGGTTGCTGGAGTCAGGTTGTTTGTCACGGTGGCGACGGGTTTTGCCAGAGTGGTCTGGATCTCAGCCCTCCTGGCCAAAGCTGTCCTCAGCTTCTCCCTCATCTGGTCGATCTGGTCTTGGAGCGCCTGCAGCTCACCAGGCTGGGGCGGGGCCACTTCAGGAGGAGGGGATACAGTTGCAGAAGGAGGAGCAGCAGAATAAGTGGAAGAAGTAGAGGAGGACGATGACGGGAGGGAGAGCACGAGGCTGGCAAATGAAGCCACCGGTCCTCCATTCTCACACACTCTGTTGCTTGGCCCTGCATTCGGCTTGGCTGACCCCTCACCTTTAGCCCCGCCTCCCTTGGTGTCGGAGGCTGCGATGCGAGCGAGCAGGCGGCGGGTGTTGAGGGTCTCCAGGTTGAAGTGAACTCGTCTGAAGTCTCGGGCATCCTTCATGGCGGCGGTGGTCGCATCCTTACTGGTTTCGTTGTTCCACTTGGCCGAGACTCCAGGAGCCGGGGGGGCAGGGGGGCCATGAGAGGGCTGAGGCTTCAGCAGGTTACAGCTGAACACAAACAGAGAAACATCTGTCACCTCAGACACACGGACAGGACCATGTGATACGGCCAAAAGCCTAAAAATGAAAAAGCCAACAAGTGGACCTTGAGGTCAGACAGGATCAGTTTCATCACCTTTTTTCTTTCTCCACTCGCTGCCTCTTCACATCTTCGTACGTCATGTTCAGAGCTCGATGGATTTTCTGTCAAACACACAAACATTCTGTTAGTTGGTTCCACTGAAGAACCTCAGCAGAACCTCTCTGTGCACTTCTGATCTTTTTAATATAACCTGTAATGTTAGTGTTACTGTTAGCAGCCATGCTACAGCTAACTGTTAGCTGTGTGTCAGCTAACATGGAGCAAACTGTTTGTCAGAGTGTTTGTGGATGAATGAGTTCACACTACAGCAACTGACACACAACTGACTCTCACCTGTGAGGTGTGCAGCCAGTACTTGAGGTTCTGTCGGCGGCGGATGTGTGGCAGGATGAGGCGGTAGAAACCATGTTCACCTGCCAGAGTTAGCAAAGCTCCGCCCACTCCAAAACACAACAACACAAAGAGTCCTGAGAAGTGACTGATCCCCATCTGAAGAGTCTGACAGAGACAGAAGAAGAAGAGACTGAAGCGTCTTACAGAGCCTGAACACAGACACACATAGACATGGAGAAACACATATGGTTTTAACATAGCAATGGTTTATATAATTCATGTAGACTGACCTCAGTGACAGCGAACACTCTGTTCCCACAGGGAACCACTTTGTACCACTTGTCGTGCAGCAGGTCCATGTATCCCTCTGATTTGTATCTGCTGATGAACTCTGAGATGTTGGATGTCAGAGGAGAGTTCTGAGGCAGGCCAATACCATAACCTTGAGAAAAACATCAATAATCAAGCAACAACGGGCAACCATTTTGTTTACAGTGACAAAATTACATGCTAAGCTAGGCTAGCAGTTTCCCCGGCTTCCGGTCTTTGTGCTAAGATAGGCCAGCAGACCTGTCTGCTTTTTAAATGTGAAACATGTTACTGTGCGTCTGCAGAGAAAACTAGAGTCAGCAAATCCCTAATAATCTGATTATCGCAGATCCAGGTACTGTCCTGTCTCATGGTTTAGTGCTGTCTGTCTCTCTGTCTGGACATTTTCACCTTCCTCCTTCCTGTGCTTCAGTAGTTTTAGAATTATTCCTCTGAACTGACAGTTAACATGTAAAATGTGCAGTATAAAAAAAATATCTAAAAATCCATTCTATGGTAATCTTCAACATATCTTCCATTAACTGACTCACTCCAGTGACAGAGCCTCAGTGTTTTTAATCTTCCTGGTTCAGAGGCAGGAACTTGGTCTTGAGGAGCTGTAGCATTTATTAAACAACTTAATGGACATACATCACACTGCTATGTTCACAGCTATACAGCTAACTAAATAAACTAAATAAATCTGTGTCTCTAGCTTGTCTGCACATGCCTTTAATTCTGCAATATCAGAACTGATCTCAGAACAGTAGAAGCTGAGTCAGACTGACAAGCTAACTGTTTGGCTATCACTAACAAAGATCAGGGATTATCCTCAATGAGTAAACCTCTGAGAAAGGCTGCTGTCCTCTCCGGCTGACAAGCTCCAGTCTTTGTCAACGGGACATGTTCACACCCGCGAACATGACAGAAAGAATAGGTACAACGCCTAGAAGTCAAGCTAGCTTTCAGAGACAATACCCTGCTGCCACCACAAGAGGGTGTTAATGACATTATGGATGAAAAAGGCATCAGATCCTTTCATTAGATGTAAGAAGAGACATCTCTTCAGTATGGTTCTGTGTCTATTTTTAGCTGTAGCTGGGTAAACACTGCATCATGAAGATATAATGCATGAATGAATTCTCCTATTCTCCTATTACTGTTATTATAATTAAATATGAAAATAGCATTATTTATCATTTGTGTAAGGAATTTGTGTATTGCATTAACAGTACATCTTGTACTAATAATCTTCTACTAACATTATAATGGAGAGCACACTGATTTCATTGTGTCCTCCAATGAAAAGACCCCCCCCCCCCCCCCGCCCTTCATCCCCCCACCCCCAACAGAGACAAAAAGCCTCTGAAGGAGGAAACGGTTCAGTGTGAATCTTTAAACCGTTTAACTGAAAGGGAGTCTGTTGCTCTCATCTGACTGGTCGAGATGTTGTTGATGATGAAACTTCATGAAACATGTTTCAGAGAGAAAAAAACTATCAAAACCAAAAGGAAGTGAACTGAAGATAAGTGCACAAACACCCACGCAGGCACCACCATAACCCCACCAACATAAATCCTGAAACCAGGTCTGAACCCCCAAACACACAATTGAAGGTTTGACCCACAATAAGGGACCGTAAATGTCTTCACTGTCCAAAAATGTCCCAATGTCTAAACCTTCCCCTGGTCCTTACAAAGACACAAGAACAGCAGCATAAACACAGTTACCTTCGATGGCGAACGGTTTCCCAACAGTCGCCAATTTACAGTCGGTGTCAATGGAAACTTCATAGTCCAGCAGAGCTTTGTCCATGATGAAGGCATCGAGATGAGGAGGATCTGTCCTTCAACACAGAGAGACACATTACTACAGCGACCGGCAAGACTCCTTTTCTTTTAGAAACTGTGAACAACAACTACTGTCTAATACAGAGCAACATAGTTACTATAGCAACACATAGCAACTCTGTTGACAGTTGACACTGGCAACAGCAGCAACATTGTAACTTTGGTCAGATTGAAGGACTGAACCTCACTGAACTCCATGTCTATGTGGAAACAAACACCTGCTCACCTGCTCAGGTGTGTCAAGTGTGAGCAGCCAATCACACCCAGGTGTCTCTCCTGCAGCCAATCAGCTTTCTGCTCTGTCAGACAGTGACTCTGGTGTTTTTATGGAATTTCAGGATCTGATCTAAGATCCGTGGCTCTTCAGACAGACCTGGAGTCTGTTACCCTGGAAATCAAACATGAAAAGACTCTCCTCTGCCTGCGATTGGCTGAGTTCTTACATAGACAACGTTGTGATTGGGTGAAATTTCAGAAAGTTCAGATCTCGGGTCAGCTGTTATCATCAACACAAACAGAAAAGGGAAATAACTGAAGTGTTGCTAACCTGGAACCAAATATAATGTGTGTGTGTGTGTGTGTGTGTGTGTGTGTGTGTGTGTGTGTGTATCTGTCTGTGTGTGTGTCTGTCTGTGTGAGCAGAGAGGATTATGGGTGATGAGACTCATCGACATGTTAAAACAGTAACATACATCCCAATGATTTCTGTTCTTCAGCTCCACTGGATTCTGTTTATTTACATATTATATTAGTTCACATTCAGTCAAACTTTCCCAATAACGGCAGCTGTGATCAGCTCCTGTCTGCAGTGTATCATGATGTTCAGACAACTATCTGTCATGGTCTCAGCCTGGAGGCTCCAGGGTTTTGGTTTTTTGGACTTTCTTGATTTAGTTTTCTGTGTTTTTGGTATTTTCTAGTGTCTAGTTTAGTCTTCCCTGTCTTGTGCTCTGTTTCCCCGTGCACTTCCTGTTGTATTTTGTAATTTGTTTCCTTGTGTGTCTCAGTGTTTTGCTTCCTGTCTTGGTCCTGTTTCTCTGTGTGGTGATTGTGTGCCCCGACCTAATGTGTTTCACCTGTGTTCAATCACCCTTGCGTCCCTTGTCTATATAGTCTTTGTGCTCCCCTTTGTCTGTGTCGGTTCGTCTGTTAATTCTGGGTTTGTTTACATCGTCTGTTCATGTTTATTATTTTTGTAAATAAACCTGTCTGCACCATCTCCCATGTGTTGGCTGCAATTGGGTCCACCCCTACCTACCACCAAACCGTGACACTATCACTGGATCACTGTGATACTAAAGGAATCTTAAAAACAGGAGGATTCTCAGTAAAGTTCTCCAGCCTCTGTATAAAGCTGGTCCAGGTCTGGAGTGTGTATGAGTGTGACCCGAGGGTTCAAGGCTACACCTCTTCTAAAAGGTAGTCACCCAGCCACCCTGTATCCTGGCTCCTCAGGAGCTACAGGGAACTTGAGCTTCAAATTTACTGAGCCTCGCCACCATCACAGCAAATAAACTACTTTCATTACATGTGTCATTATTACTAGAGGAGGCAGAGGAATAACTAAACATAAGACACACCAAGCAGAGAGAGAGAGAGAGATGGAGAGAAGTCGTCGCTGACTGCTTAAGAGGTGCGCAGATCTGAATATCATATAAACACCAGAAACACAGAAAATGAGACAATGCTCTAACTGCAGTGCAATAATAAAAGCCCTGTTAAGACACACAGGGTTTCTTTCAACTGAAACACCAGAAGGCTTTTAATCTCAAATGTTTACAGGAAGTGTAACATTTGTATTAATGTGTAATGTAGTAACTTTAACATGGGTGGATCAAAATGTGGCTTCATACTAAAATAGCTCTATGACCAACTTCCAGGTAAATGAAGCCCTGCCCCATTGTTGCAGTCCAGGCAAAAAGACGACAAATCTAGCGAAAGTTGACAACAATGCAAGTGCAAACACCTGTCCAAACTGTTAGCAACAGTTTATTTTGAAAGAGCAACAGCCAATTAGGAAACTCCCACTCATCACATGGCATTTGGCTGACCAATGGTGGAAATATGGTCACTCAACTATGATCAGTCAGTCAGTCAATCAGTCACTCAGTTGCTCAGTCAAAAACTACATGAAGACATAAAAACAAAGTCGTCAACACTAAATGGTGACATCATATCTGAACTGGGTAGAACCACACACAGATCTATGACTGTGACTCTAGAACCATCAGGTGGCATTTGTCCTCTTACTTGAGGGTGGCAACTCCTTCAGGTGTGGTTGGTTCGTTGAAGCGTCTCATGTACTCGTGCATCTCTGGAAAACTCTTCTTCATGTAATCCTCAGCGCTGCTCTCCCTCACTGTCCCAAAACGAAAACCCCGGGATGGGTGGTGCAGCTGACACACCACCGAGAAAGAAGAAGAATAAGAAGAAGAAGAAGAAGAAGAAGAAGAAGAAGAAGAAATGAATGTTCAGTCTCAGTAAATTCAGTCAGACTGATGTGCCTTTGACTAAAGGTCACTCTGCTGTGATGGAAAAATGCAGAAAATGAAATGATGAAAAAAGTGAGCGAACAGATCACGTCTGTGTAAATGATTCTGGGGTTGGTTACATGGTGTCATCCTCTCCACGTCTAATGAAAACCCTGCAGCATGAGTCTCTGTCTCTTCATACAGACTTTGTGTTTTTGTGGTTGCAAACTGACGTCCTCCACATATAGAAACTTGATCAATAATAAAAACAAGTTCATTTCATCTCGTTGATGTTTGATATAAGCAGAAACGGAGTTTGAGTCGGAGTATGGGGCTAGAACAGTGACAGTAACATTGTGACATTGAAAATCAAAGTTCGCATTGAAAACAAAACCTGAATTGAAAAAGGAAACAGTGGCATTGAAAAAGTTGTATTGAAAAAATTGTTTTGACTATATAAGATGGTAACAACATGTTTAACAAGCAGCTGCAGTATATCTAAGCTGTGCACATTGAAAATAGAAAGCTAATCACACACAGATGGACATGCAGTTAACCACCCCCCCTCCAGCTCCCAGCAGCCCCGGCTGTATAAAAACTCACAGACGTGTTTTATGCTTCAATCAGCTGCTGAATTAAAAGTGTAATTAGGGCGAGGCAGGCAATCCACAGAACAAATTTAATCTGCAATTATTTCACAACATGAAGCAGAAAGTGAATGAATAGAGAGTCCTGGTGTCCTCATCCAGTCTCTCTTTCCTTACTTCCGGCCTCCTCTCCGCTGTCTGATTTAGATGAAAACACCCTGAAAATATTTGAAACGATTACGATGAACATCAGCCAGAAAACACCGGAGCAGCTTGGACCTGGTGCCAGGGCTGAGAGAGGCTCCATAACACCTGCTTTTGGTTGCTGTTTGATGATGATGACATCATCAGGTGCAAAAGTCCAGCCAATAGCAGATGGACAGTTCAGCACCTACGTTCACCTGTAGGCGTCAGGATTCACACAGGTTTGGTTTATATGAAATATTAAACTTTGGTTCTGTTCTGGGCAACAGAAACATGAAATCTAAAGAATATAAAACCAGATGTCATTATCCCACCTTGGCGTCGTGGATCCCTGAGACCTCCTCGAAGGTCTTTTCTCCCACCATGACGGCGGCGAGGTTGGCGGTGTAGCTGGACAGCACCAGCAGGCAAAAAATGGCCCACAGGTTCATCAGGAACCGACCTGTCCAGCACTTTGGCGTCTTGGAAGAGACAGTGCGTCCGAACAAGATGGCGTAGCACAGGTTCAGAGCCGATGAGTATGAGAACACCCTCATCCTGTTGCGACCGTGAGGCGTCATGCCAAACGGACTATTCCACTCGTACAATGTGAGGAAGAGCGCTGTGATGTGCAGCGCCAGGAAGATGCCCACCCACATGGACCAATGCAGGGGCCACATGAAGGCTCCAATCGGGGCCGCCGTGTCCTTACTTCGAACCAGGATGCCCAGGCTGGTGGAGAAGAAGGGCGAGGTGAAGTCGATCACCTGACTCCGAGCTGAGTTGATGCTGAAGGAGGTGACAGCCATCTCCGCTAGTCCATTCAGAAGATCCCCCACCAGCCCAGTCCAGCGCCCCCCCTTCCACGCGCCGTACTTCCCATCTCCAACAATGTAAAGGTCATACTCAAAGCCGAGGTCCTCAGCCAGCTTCTCCAGCAGGTCAATGCAGTATCCATAGCAACACTTGCTGTACTGGGCAGGCAGGAAGCTGCCATTCCCAGCTGCCACCTCCCTGAAGAACCTCTCCAAAGTCTCTGAGTTGTTGGTCCCAGCATCCAGGCAGAACTGACCAGCAGGGCAACTGCCTTCATCGTCCACGTCCCGCGTGAACACAAAAGGATGTTCCACTAGAGTCACCACCCGGACTCGACTCCCTGCCACCGGCATTCCCGCCCTCCAGCGGCCCCTGGTCCTCCCACCCGTCCCCTCTGTCCTGTGCCGATGTATGGGTCCCTGCCAGACCCCCTGGTCTTCCACCTGCAGCTGACCCCCTTCCCAGCTGCCAACCGTCACCCAGGTGGGTTGACCAAGAGCATCCCGCCGCAGGCTCCAGATGTGAAACCGCTTTGAGGTGAGGACCTGAGACTGGTTCTGGTGGACTCGGACCGGACCCGTCAGACCAGAGAAAGATGTGTTGAACAGAAACCTGCAGGAAAAGAAAACACAACAGGTATAACACAGACCAGCTGGAGGCAGATCCTCGGGGTGGAGGTGTTGCTTCATTGGTTGATCAGTGCAAAACGTTGTGAGTTTTCACATCGCAGAGAACAAAACTGATATACAAAAAAGTTTTCATTTGGTAATAATGGCAGCGTAAATAAATCATGATAAAGTTTTTCTAGAAGATCCCCTAATTCTGAGAATTCAGTTTCTCTATGAAATTCTATGTTTATTAAAATTTGTCTCCAAAACAGTAAACATATCATATGGAGAGATCAGACCTAGGCTGCTTTACCTTAAACCTTATACTCTGCCCCTGAACACAACGTACACTATGTATCTAATATTTCCCATGAATAACCTCAGCCTCACTGAATATAGAAACTTGAGGGTGATTCGTCCATTTTTTTGGTGTTAACAGGACAGAGACAAGAAACTTGGACTCATCTTCAAATTAGAAACTACAGTCTGTCAAAAATGCATCACCCCTTCTCTCTGGTCTTCAGAGTTTATACTGTTTTCTGAGGACCTGAGATCTGCTCAGACCCTTATTTCTTTTAAAGGTTGTATTAAAAATCACATTACCTTTATAAGTGAATAATCTAGATGTGAGTATTGCAGTACATTGTTGATGTAGATGATGTCAAGTTTTATGTTAACTGGACCCAAATGCATATGCACGTAAATACTGGAAGGTGGAGTGAAATGACTTTACTGATGAAAAAACTGCCCAAAATTTACAGGCTTGTCAAACAAAAATTCAAGGCAAAACTGGTAGAAACGAAGGCAAAGGAACAAAAACCAGGAAATCCAAAAAAAAAAAGCACGAGAGTGAGGGACGCAAGGAAACATTGAAAATGTTCCACAGAGAAAAACAGATAAACTGACAAAGAAAAAGGGGAGTGCAGAGACTAAACAGACAAAAAGGAGGCAAGGTGATCGAACACAGGTGAAACACATTAGGGTGGGGCAGACAATCACAAAGGAGGGAAACAGGAGAGACAGGCAGTAAAATAACCCCAAGACACACAAGGAGAGTTATACAAAATAAAACAGGAATTGAAAAAAAATGTCCAAAAGCTCAAACATATTCACACAATTGTCCGTCATGGTAAACGATGACAGGCGGTGATGTCTCCTGGTCACTGCACACGGACATCAGTCTCTGTTTCCTGTTTGGAATCATCCTCACAAACTTCTACAGCTGCACTGTTTCCTCTGGAGGATCTCTCGAGCTCAGAGAGACCATCAGAGTCTGGGTCTGATGTCTCAGCTAGTCCAGGTCCAGCTCTAGATTTCTAGACTTCTTCATGTCAGAATGATGGAGGACACTAAGCTCTGTAGTCAGTCTGTTCCTCCTCATGGTTTTGTTTTTCTTTTTTCTTCTCCATGTAAAGCACATTGTTTTCCCGTGTAGAAAAAGTGTTTTATAAATAAAGCTTGTTGTGTGTCTGCTGAGGCTTTACAGTCAATAACGATCAGATAACTAACGATCTTAGTTTGTCTAACACACAGATCATCTGTATTAATTAGTGTGATATAAGGTCTTTGAGCACAATCATTTATTCAGCAGCCTGTTTTAAATTTAGACTAAAAGGTTTGTCGGATTTGAAATTAACATTTAACAATCTTTTCTGCCTTAAACCTTCACCCTCAGACACAGAGCAATGAACTGGATTTTAGAGTCCAACAGAAAAATGCTGATCAGTCAGAACAAAGTGTAAATAATGTCAGATTGTGGTTTTGTTTTCTGATTATTGACTCGTTCTTACGCTCAGATGATGAGTCTGTCTGTGAACTTCTTATTAAATCTCTTACGTTTCTGTTTCTCTTTTCATTCGTTGTATTTTCTTTTGTTCTTTTTTCTTTGCAGCAGATTATCAACCCTCAGAAGTTTTTTATCGTTCCGTCTGACTGTAATTTCAATTACTGTGAATGTGTTTGATCTTTTTCTGTCAGGAAACTCAATACTGCAGTGAAACCTTTTCTCCCCCTCAGAGCTGCAGCTCACAGTGTTTCAACTCACAGTTTTTCAGTTCGCAATGTTTCAGCTAACAATGTTTAACCACTCACAGCTCACAGTGTTTAAGTTCAGTGTTTCAGCTCAGTTTTTAAGCTCAGTGTTTTAGTTTGCAGTATTCCAGTTCACAGTGTTTCAGCGCGGTATTTCAGCCCACAGTGTTTCAGTTCACTGTTTCAGCTCAGTGTTTTACTTCAGTGTTTCAGTTCAGTGTTTCAGTTCAGTGTTTCAGCTTACAGTGTTTGAGCTCAGTGTTTCAGCTCAGTGTTTCAGTTCACAGTGTTTCAGCTCACAGTCTTTCAGCTCACAGTGTTTCAGCTCAGTGTTTCAGTTCAGTGTTTCAGTTCAGTGTTTCAGCTTACAGTGTTTGAGTTCAGTGTTTCAGTTCAGTGTTTCAGTTCAGTGTTTCAGCTTACAGTGTTTGAGTTCAGTGTTTCAGCTCAGTGTTTCAGTTCACAGTGTTTCAGCTCACAGTCTTTCAGCTCACAGTGTTTCAGCTCAGTGTTTCAGCTCAGTGTTTCAGTTCACAGTGTTTCAGCTCACAGTCTTTCAGCTCACAGTGTTTCAGCTCAGTGTTTCAGTTCAGTGTTTCAGTTCAGTGTTTCAGCTTAAAGTGTTTGAGTTCAGTGTTTCAGCTCAGTGTTTCAGCTCAGTGTTTCAGTTCACAGTGTTTCAGCTCACAGTCTTTCAGCTCACAGTGTTTCAGCTCACAGTGTTTCAGTTCACAGTGTTTCAGCTCAGTGTTTCAACTCAGTGTTTCAACTCAGTTTAACTTCACAGTGTTTAACTTTTCAGCTCACAGTGTTTCAGTTCACTTTTAGTTTGTTACTATCTGCCTAGGGAATTCACTGCTGTTGTTAATTTAGCAGTCTACCTGATGGAGCTGTACAGCAGCATCAGAAAAACAAACATCACACCCCGGATTTTCACTGGTGACTTCAATTGCTTTGATTTAATGACTATTTTGCCAAAATTCTACCAATGTAAAATTTTTCATGAGTAGAGAAAAGAGAAACGTTCAGATCCAAATTGTTGCTGCTGATGTCAGAGTGCTGATTCCTCCCCTTCAGACACGGTGCTGCTTGTATCTCTGTTCTATGAGGAACATTTCACTTTACAGTGCCTTTGGAAATGACAATAAACCTGAACATGAACAAGGTTATACTAATAAATCGTTTTACCAAATGTTATTGTCTTAGCAGGATGTTTTTATTTTCTTATTATCACTCAGTGTTTCTATTGTATTCTATTGTATTCCTCAGCTCGCACCAGTTGTGAGATGTTCCTCCATGTTACTGAAAACATTCGCCTACAAGAAAATCATCAAAGCTGGCGGGTGAAGAAATACTGAAACTCATTTGTACAAAAAATAAATGAATAAATGTAAATATTTCACAGTCTGATTAAATCTTCTAATGAACACTGATTATAAAACTACTGTTGTTATTTCATTCAAATGATCAGGACTAACAAATTAAAATCTATTTATATCAGCAGCAGTGCACATAAATACTAATCCTCTGCTCAAGCCTTCAACGTGTATTGGGCTATTTTCCTTGTGGACAGTAACTTTATCTTGGTTTGATAACAAAAGAAGTCATTATAATAAACAACTTGCATCTCTGTGACATCATGATATGTGACTGAAAAACCCAAAAAACTGTCAGTGCTGAATCTAGATAAATATAATAATACAATAGATATAAAATGCATAATATAATACCATATGGACATAAAGACAACAATGTAAACCTGACTTCAATTGTTACGAAGAAAAAGTGAGAAAACATGAAGAACAGCAGAGACTGTCTATCAGTGGTTTGTAACTGCAGGAAAATTAAAGCCAACATTAATAAACACATAAAAATGACATTTTAAATATTCTCCTGAAGTTTTCCCTGAACATTTGAAGGTTTAGAAAGATCATCCACGTCATCCACAGCTTTACATCTCATCCTGCATTACTCCAAATGTAACAAACCTACCAGCACCTCTAAAGCGTTCAAATTTACACGTTCTATCCCTTTTCTTTAAATACACATAAAACCTAAAGTGTAAATATGACACATTTAAGAATTACCTGTTCAGTCTGAACCATAAACCAGTTGACTTTACTACCTGTAACTGTTGCTTTAAGAGCCTGTATAAGGAACATATGGAACAGTGTTAACTGAGCTCTAGAACAGTTTGTGTGCATCAGTATTGAAACATGAACTTCACATTCAACTGACAGATTATCTCTAACATGGAGTCCCACAGGGCAGAGGCCTCTACTTGGTTTATTCTATGTGAATGATTTAGGACCTGTTTGTGCTGAAAATGTACTTTCATGGTGATGCACTTATGTTGGCTTCACATGATGAGACAGTGAAGTTAATGGAGAAGACAGTGAGCCCTCAAAACACCTCACACCTGCATCTTTACACTAACTTCATGTGCATCTTAAAACTGTTATTTTAAGGTGATCTAAGGTTTTAAGGTGCTGGTTAAGGCTGGATTACCGAATGAGCAAAGCAGGCAACTGCTCAGGGGTCCCAGACGCCAAGGTTTACTACATTTCATTTTGGTCAAAATTCTGTTACATCTACTTCATATTTGTGGAGGTTCAGCCAGACCTGATGCTGACTGTGAACCCTGAGGTCCACAGTCTGTCTTCTGTCTAATAAAGACATAAAATAATAGGAGTTACCTGGACAGGTACTGTCCTGACGATGGCACCTCATGTTTGTTGGGTTTGTCATAGCAGTTCACCATGTTCTGAATCAGGGCCAGGTCCGGTCTCACCATGGTTGCCGCGGCGACAGCACTGGTGAGGAGTTGCAGAGCATCTCTGACGTAAAAATCAAGCGGTTTCCTGTCCACCTGTCCATAGGCCAGCAGGCCAAGTGGCAGCCCAATGGCATGCAGGGCGTCGGGGTTGAGTGGCTGACCCAGCACCCAGTGCACCATGGGTAAGGTGAGGCCCAGATCCTGGGCGCTGCGTAGCACCGCCGCCGCGCACTGCAGGTCAGTCCCGAACAGCAGCACTGACGCCGGCAGGGGCTGGTTCTGTCTGAAGTGTCGGGACAGAAAGTCATGGATCTGTGTGTCATCATGGGCAGACCGCGTCAGGTTCAGAAGGGCACGTGGGTGCCAGGTGACCCCACCCCCACCGTCCCATGATGCACTGCTCTGACCCTCAAGGAGCCGCAAGAGACCTCGAGCTTCCTCCCAGCCCTGACAAAGAACCACAGTACCCTCCCTCCAACCGGAGCGCTGCAGAACCGTCAGCAACAGATCAGACAGACCAGACTCTGGAACCCCCATCATCATCTGTAGGTGGAACCGGTTCTACACAGAAACAGGAGAACCAGGACAACAACCATGAGGAGGAGAACCAGCCGTGAGGAGAACCGGTCAGGAGGAGAACCAGCCATGAGGAGAACCGGTCAGGAGGAGAACCAGCAGGAGGAGAACCAGCCAGGAGGAGAACCAGCAGGAGGAGAACCAGCAGGAGGAGAACCAGGAGGAGAACAAAGTTAGAACATGTCAAAGTGGATCAGAGTAGAAACAGAACATAATAAATGATCAATCAAAGACCAGATAATCAATAATCAATAATAGATCCTGCCTGGTGTCTGAAGGTGTAATCTGTTTCTGAAGAGCAACGTTCCACCAACCAATAGAGAACCAATAGAGAACCACCAGAGAACCAACACCTTGTATTTGATCCTGTTGTTGATCAGGTTGTTGATCAGATTGTTGATCACGTTGATCAGGTTGTTGATCACATTGATCAGGTTGTTTATCCTGTTGTTGATCAGGTTGTTTATCCTTTTGTTGATCCCATTGTTGATCCTGATATTGATTAGGTTGTTGATCAGGTTGTTTATCCTGTTGTTGATTAGGTTGTTGATCAGGTTGTTTATCCTGTTGTTGATTAGGTTGTTGATCAGGTTGTTGGATCTGTGCTGAACATTGTATTTCATAAAGTTCACTCAGGAACTCATTCTAACAGTTTGTGTGTTTGTGCCAACTGAAGCAGGAAATGTTTCCTGAGGAGAAATAAAATCAGCTGAGTCCTCGTTACTGAACCCACTGTTTCTGCTCTTATAGTTCTCTAAATAGCTGAATACAACCAGTCCACACCTGCAGGGCCTGTCTGTCCCAGGGCATCCTGGGTAATGTAGGAAATCACTGACTGAAGAAGAACTGGTGTTTAAAACATGCATTCTCCTACTTCTACCAAAGAACAATAATCCTTGGTGTCAAAGAGTTGTTTCCTGTAGCTGATTGGACCAAGGTCTCAACCCTCACAAATACAGGTTTTGCCTAATTTACATTTAATGTTTTTTAACCTGAGTAAAGATAATATAAGATCGTCCTTTATTAGTCCAAAAGTGGGGAAATCTATCGAAACACACCATCATAAAGATGTTTTAGTCTCTGACAGTCAGGAGGGACGAGAAACCTCAGACTGAGTAAGTCCATCAGACAACACCTTGAACCACCTGAACACCCTGTTCAGTAACCACTGCAGTTCTGGGGGTTGACAACCTCACAAATCCACCAATATGTTATCATGTGATCTTGTACCAAAATAAACACGATGACTCCAGCAGCTCGTGATGAGAACAACTGAACATCACAGTCTTTACATATCACACCAACTGACCCAGACTGGAAGAAACCAACTGACCCAGACAGGAACAGACCTGGTCCAACTGACCTATATTGGAAAAGACCTGGTCTAACTTGGTCCAATCAGTAATCACTCCGCACGTCATATTCATAGTGTGTCCTAATAGATAGCAGTATGACACCATGGAGAGCCAACATTATGTATTGAACCTTTTTATTATTATTATTAACATGCAGCCAACAGTGCGGCCAGCCATCGAACCAGGGACCATTTGCATCTCTGCACCATGAACCATTCGACTGTAGGGTGTTTTTCCCAACATGGCTCTGAAAGTCAAAGCTAACCATCAGAGCACAATATCAAAAACCTGTAACTGTGAAGACGTTAAGGGGAAGAAGTATCTAAACTATTTCACTAGTACAGTGGTAATGACAGAAAAGTTATTTTCAGGCTAATAAAATATGACTGAACGGCAAACTAACAACAACCTGAAGTTTCAAATGACCTAAACTGAAAGAGAAAGACTTTAGTTTTCAAAACTAAACTTGATAAATTAACTATAAACTAACACTGACAAAACTGGTTGAGCAGCAATCATTGGAGCTGCAGTCAAGAGTATTAATACTGAATACGTTTCTATGTGGGTCTGTTGTCGACTCTCAGGAACAAAGTGAATCAATAAAACAGAGAAACAGAAATGAGATCAAAGCACAGAAACAGAGTGAAAGAAGGTGATTCAATAAAGTCTGAATAAAATATAAAGACTAGGAGATGAAACGACAGAAGAGATGAAAGGATCCTCAGCTGAAACACAAACCTGATTTCACTTACAATCAGTCAAACATCAGCTGGAAGAAAATAAACCGTCAATGAACCAAACAAATAGCTGACGTTGAAGATGAGAAGTACAATGATTGATTCAGACGTGATTGATTGACCAAACAGATGAAGACTGGACTGAGATTGGAAGACATACTGGGTGGGGGTTGGGGGTGAGGGTTTGACCTGTGAAAATAGCTGAAAGAAGAAAGTTGTTTGACAGCTGGTCTTTAGCATTTGTGGGACTGTAGTTTGCTCAGGTGTGTTGTTGGAATAGATGTGAGAGTCATCTGCATAGAAAAAGCTACTGGTGACTATTGACTGCAGAGAACAGGAGAATAATAACAGACTGAGGACTGAAGCCTGAGGCACATCGTGAGTGAACTGGGTTATAATCACAGGAATAAACAGCAAGCTTCCTGTTACATATTTATATCAATGTTATATAGATATAAATGAACAAGGATGATGAATGTGTTCCTGTTCCTGAGACACTGAATGACTCATGTTTCATGGTTGACTATTTTCTTTGAGAAAAATATTTTATGTGACCTGCAGCTGATTGTGTCTTCATTGAAGGACGAGTCATTAAAACTACACCTTAACAGTTCTGCACAGAGCATCAATTTCACACAGAGAATCAGCCCTCAGTCCTCTTCAACTTAAATTATATTGTGCCTGAAGACAAACTTCTCCTGCAGCTCCTAACTATCAACTGTTTCCCAGAATGTTTAACTATTCCTCAAAAATTCCTTCCTTTTTGAGGAATATTCCTTAATTCCTTAAAATTTCCTCAAAGAGCTCAAAATAATAAATGAATAAATATTTTAAAATTTACAATTTCATGACATCTGGATAAACTCCACCTCATGTCACAGAGCAGCAACTGAATCGACCTTGTGATCATAATCACAAGTTGATTGAAGAGTTTGAACAATTACGAGGGCTTGTGGGTCAGGGTTAGTTCTAGTCCAGGGGTTTTCAACTGGTTTTGTCCCAGGGACCACCATTATAACCAAGAAGCAACTCAGGGACCACTGCTTTGGCGGATGTTTGTTTTATTTTGCACCAAGCTTAAAATTAAGGAGGATAGACCTATACAGGCTATTTATTTGCATCAGTGTATGTCTATTTATTTGCACCTTGTGCTAAAAGGAAAAACAGACAAGTAGTAATGAACGGAAATAATATGTGGGAAGCCAAGAGGGCTTATAATATTACAAAGTTCACTCTCACTCTGTGGGACAAGGGCTGAGTTTATAGTTTTCTTACCCATCAGTGGGATTTCTGGGCATGGTGAGTTGCACACAGTCTGTCTTTGAGTTGCACACAGTCTGTCTATTCGTGGCAATATGGTGGATAGGCACAATCTCATGTCACTTTCAGGCTTCAATCTTGACCTGTACTTGTTCTTCAGGTAGGCCAGTGTGGAAAATCCACTCTCACAAAGATAAGTAAAAGGTAACAGAGAGTTGACTGCCTTTGCTCAAATGGACACTAATAATGTCCTTAATATCAGCACTGTCAGAATATTCCTCAATTGATGGAAACATAGCCAGGTTACCCTCTTCTACTCTTTCTATCCATCGCTTCACTTTTTTAGTGAATGCCTCCATTTTTTCATACATCTGTAAGACGTTTGCATTTCTGCCTTGCATGGAGCTGTTCAACTTGTTCAGCTCTGCAAAAATATCAGTGAGATATGCCAGCTTAGTAAGCCACTCAGTGTCACAAAAGTTATCAGCCAGTTCGTTGTGTTTGTGCTCTCTTAAAAAGTCATGGATTTCACTGCGCAGTTCAAACACGCGCTCCAGCACGCGCTCCAGCACGGAGCTGTGCGACCTTTCTTTTGATTAGGTTTACTGTCTTTACAACAGAATCAAACACACTGCTGAGTTCAATACTTAGCTCTTTGGAGGCCAGGGACTCACGGTGTATCATGCAATGTGTCCAAATTATCCCAGGCGCTGCTTTCCTTATGTGCGCAAGCAATCCAGTCTGATAGCCACTCATTGCTCGGGCTCCATCACTGCACACAGTTTTGCCAGGAGATATCGTTGTCTTTAAAAAAGTTGTCAATGACTGTAAATATTTCTGCGCCTGTCGTGCGCCCTGGCAATGGTTTACAAAAAAGGAACTCCTCGCACATAGTGCCACTGTCCTCAAACCGCACAAACGCCAGGAGTTGCGCATAATTGGTAATATCCGTAGTCTCATCAATTTGAATTGAGAATCCTTGAGCTGATCTTAGTTTCTCTATAAGCTGCGTTTTAACGTCATCAGCCATTTCCACAATCCGACGTGCGATAGTGTTATCTGACAAGGGGATGGTTTTTAATTTGTTTGCACAGTCTTCACTTCCCATGGTTGTACACATATCCACAGCTGCTGGCAAAATAAGTTGTTCGGCGATTGTGTGGGGTTTTTTACATACAAGTGCCACCTGGTATGAGGCTTTAGAGCATTTTCACTGCTTGTTGCACTCTTTTTCATGAGTGTCTGCTGTCCCTTAAAAATACGCAGCATTTCTTCAAAATACTGGATAGGCTTGCCTTTCAGTGAACTATGGTGGGTCTCCAGATGCCGCGTTAGTTTTGAGGGCTTCATTGCTTCATTTGACAGGCGTGCCGAGCATATGAAACATACTGGAATCTCATCTCCTGCTTTGTTGGTGGTGAAAGTGAATCCAAGTTTAAAATACTTTTCTGCATCATATTTTCTTTTTGCCGGTCTCTCCCTCTTACGTTTCCTTGAGTCCTTCGCTGGGGGGGCTGGTTCTTCAGGAGGGGGGGGGGGGGTCTGGGTTTTCAGTCTCCTCTGTGACTGTCGTTCCAGCGGAGGCCGCAGTCTCAGCCTGCTCTGCAGGTTTTTTCCTGACAACAAATCGGTC